TGAGGCAGGAGGATGTCTCAGTGTTCAAGGCCAGCCTGAACTACATATACAGCAAGACCCTGTCTCAAAATAAAAGAAAAGAAATTAATAAAAGAAATCTTCAAAATACTGTGCAGCCCCTGATTGACACTGCTGCCACAGGAAAGCACTATGTCATCAGTTTCTGTGTAAGGAAGGATGCTTAGACCAGGACCTACAAAGCTCTAGATACAATCTCCTGGGGACTTTGTTAACAAGCAGATTACCACTGTGATTCACGTTCTCAGACTTCATTCTCAGTAGCAAAATAGAAAATCTCAGTCCCTAAACAGTTCACTGCAAAAAGAACCTCAACACCAATTTTTGAGCTACAACCTTTCAAGGCAAGTCAACTTCACACACAGTAGTGGCTACAGGGAAGCTCTGCCATCTCAAAATCAAAAAAAGCCACCACCAAGAATGGACAGCCCACGGCCAGGGATATACCTCAGTGGCACAAACGCCAGCATGGCAAGCACAGGGTTCTGAGTTTGATTCCTGGTACCAAAAAAAAAAACCAAAACAATGGACAGCCTGGAAACAGAGAAGGAGGAACTGAGCCACCCATTCTGTCCTGATGGAGCAGTCACCAGAAGGCAAACCAGGAGGCCCCATCCCAGGGAATCTGGAGAGGGCACAAAAGACTCCATATACAGGCCAAGTGTGATGGCACACAAGCCTGCAATTCTGGCACCTGGAAGCTGAGGCTAAAGAATCAAGAGTTCGAAGCCAGCCTGGGCAACATAGCAAGCTTAAGGGCAGACTGGCCTACACAGCAAGACCCTGTCTCAACAAACAAAAGACTCCATATGCCTAGGACAGAAAGGGAACATTTAACTTTGTCCTTGATTTCTCTGCTCTGTCCCCAAAAGGTTCATGACCTTTTCCATTCTGAACCTAGACTAAGAACCATTATACATAAGATGCTGTACTGAATTTTCGGAAAGGCTCATCTGCAGCAAAATATGGAAGGTGTCCTATGACAGTCCAAAAGTCCTACAGGCGTCTGCTTTGTAGCAGGAGAGAGAGGACAGCTTCAGGGGTGGACAAAAGAGAGACAGCGGAGGCTCATAGCCTAGAGTACACGCCCAGAGGCAACCAACAGGGCTCCAACAGTTAGCACCTTACAGGGGAATCAAACCAGGATGGTCAACATGTGCCCAGGCCACAGGGCCTGCCTATGAGTTCAGGCTGGCTTTGCCAAGTAAAAGTCCATCACCAGCTGCAGTGCAGAAGGGCCAGTCTGACTGCATCCTCTGGATGTCACACGAGTGTGTCACCCCTACCCATCACCAATAAAAGCAGGTCTCCCACCTGAACAGGCTGCTGAGCTTTGGAAAACCAGGACAGCACATTCCAGAATGTGACTACCCAATTTCCCCACAGAAACAAGAGCCTGAAGGACAGAACTCAGGGAAGCGGGTGGGAGCAGGGATGTGTAGCGACCACAGCTAACCATGCTAGGTCGGCATCAAGAATGCCAGATTTCAAAGATCAAGCCTTCTCCTCTACATCACCATATTTATCACACCAGGGATCTCAAAGTTTGGAAAGTAACTCAGTCATTTACAGCATAATTACCCAAACTTCAAAATGGTCCAATCCACAAACTTGGCCAGTCTAGATCCCTAAGTCCCTAACTCCAGCCTTACTAACACAGAGATCTAACTATGATTCCAGTTAGTCACGTGTTAAACAAGACGGAAAAACCTACACTGATTCATTAAAAGATCATCACCCCCTGAAGTCATCCATGTAGGGTGGGCAGAGAACTGGGATTTCACTGCAAGACAGCAGCGCCTCAGCCTTGTCTGAAACAGTTTACAGCACAAGGACAGGTTCTGCAGTGAAGCACATTTGGTGAGACTGATTTAAGGCTCTCATTAAAATGTTCCTTTGTTGAGCACAAGACAACCCCTGCTCCCAGAGGAGATTCCAGACCTCCTGTCCCAATCCCTTGGCCTGCCTGATTTTCCCCTCGCAGCACACCAGCATCCATCCCGGGATTAACATCGATTAACATCACAGGCATCTTCTCATGGAAGGAATCTGGCATCTGTTGAACAAGTCTCCACCACAATCTCCCCTGAACTCCAGAACTCCAGCAGCAGCCGCCAAGCAGCTCTATCTATAGGGCTGGGTAAAACCACAGCGCAGAAGCCACCCAGGCGACCCAGGAGGCCTGTGAGCTCAGCTGCTCACCCACATGGCTGGGCCACCAGGCCCCCAAGCCTCGCTGTGCTAAAAAAAAAAAAAACTTCCATACTTCTTCTGGAAGCAGATGTGGACTGTGCCATGAACAGCAAGCACCGCACACATCTCAAGAAACACAAGGCCACTCCAGAAACACCTCCTGCAAATCCTGGAGTTTCTTTCCCAGTTTCATTCACTTTTGCTTTCCAACTAGGGGCTAGGAGATGTTGATTCCATCAGCCCCGAAGCCCCTGCACTGCTGGCAGGCCAGGAAGAAGTCAGAAAAGCAGATCTCTAGTCCTACCCTCTTCAAAGGACGCTGCTACTCTTCAAAGGACAGTTCCCCTTGGTAGAGGTTCCCAAGAGAGAGCCGCTTCAAGGACCCCCACTGGAAGACTTCATGACTTGGAAAGTGAGGGGCAGGATTTCCAGTCCAGGCTTTGGGGAGTTTGACGACTTCCTGCAAAGCACTTCACCCCTCATTAGTGACTCTCAGGTATGACTGAACCCAGTGGTGGGGGGAAGGCTGGGGGGGTGAGGGTGTCCTGTCTGCCCCAGATGACAGCCACACCCTGGTCGAGAACCCGAGGTCCCCACGGAGCGCCTGGACGGACCTTTCTCCCCTTTCTGTCCGAGGAAGGCAAGGTTCCTCTCCACCCCGACACAGGATGGAAATCCAGAAAGGCGCAGGGACCCCGTCCGCACCTTGGCAGGCCGGCCATGCCCGATTTTGGCAGCGGCCCTTGTACATTAGCCACCGCGACAGCCTGGGACCTCCGCTCCCCAGATTCCACTCCTGGCACCGACAGGGCTCAGGGCTGGGGCAGCTCCTCATTCTTCCCTCCTCCGCCCTCGCCGGCGGGGCCATCCGGGGTCCCAGCTCTGCCTGGGACCCGGCGGGTTCCGGCGCGGCCCCTCACCTGGACTGAGCCTGCGGGGCGCCCCGTGTCCCCGCCGCGGCCACCCAACCGCACCCCACGCGGGGGGGTCCTTTCTCCCCTCAAAGAAACTCCCCCGCAGGGCCCGAAGCCCGCAACTCCAGTAGCTCCCGCGGCTCCGAGAGAAGTCTCGGGCCGGGCAGAGCCGCGCCGGGCCAACTCCAGAGCTGGCGTCGCGCGCCGAGGGCACCCGACCGAGTCCGGGCACCCCGCCGGCCCCTACGCCCGGCCCCGCGCCTTCACCGGGA